CCACCTGCTAGCCCTATCTCTATGGTTTGTGTTCATATAAGATCTTTGATTTCGATTTGTCTATAAAATAGGCATGTTGTCTTATACAATTTGGAGGACGACCTTTGGGGTTCTGACCTTGAAAACTCAAATAAATTTATGTTCTTGGACTAGTCTTCCAGTCAGGTTGAAGCCTCACCACGTGCAGTCACCACTATACTGTGTACACCACGCCATCTGAACAGGTGCAAGAGTGATTCCCCGCAACACCATTCTCTCTCTCATATCAGACAATCGTACAGCTGCATCAACCTGGCTCCTATTTTGTCCGCCTTGAGTCTTCCGTCCAGACCACATATTTTCTCCCGCGCCACACGACCGTGGCCAGACCATCGGATCCAGGTTTGATGGGTCACTCTGCTCGCTAAAGAGATGGATCTCGCCTCCGAGGACCAACTTAGCCTGCTCAGCAGACAGAGAAGCGACAGGGTCATACTCCCACACCACACGCCAGTTGTTAATGGGCGAACAAAAGTCAGCGTACGGGTAGTTGGCCGGGATGTCGGCATTCTCGAAGTTGAACCATTTTCCGTGACCACAGGCAAGGTACTAGATATTGTTAGCAATTGACAAAATTGTGGCATGGACGATTCACGAACCCAGCTGTCGGTATCTCCGAAGAGAGCTTTGTGTCCTCGCGAGGTTACCGCGTCAAGGGCTTTGGCACCATCCCAGGTCTGAACTATGACATCTTTTCCAATGGTGAGATTCCATGTGAGAAGCAACTCCTGCCAAATAATTGGTACAAGGCCTGCTTTCCTGACCAAGTCATGACTGTGGTCCACGAACTTTTGAAGTAGGGGAGTAATGACTGCGACGTCCTTGGAGTTGACAGTGTCATCCAGGAGGTAGTCGCTACTTTCAATCTCATCTCCACCGGTGTGGAAATATGCCGAATATGGAGAGAGTCTGGGTAGGACATCATCGAACAGTTTGGTGACAAAGTCGTAGACCGGTGTGGAATTAAGCTTGAGTTGTCCGCAAGGAGGTTCAGAGCAATAATCATGCCATGACTGCTGACGGAATGCGGTGACGAGCTCTGGGTATGCGAATCCAACGGCTGTGGTGTGTCCAGGCATATCTATCTCGATGATAACCTCGACGCCACGGTAGATACCGTAGATCTGGATATCTTCGACATCTTGAGGCGTATAGGATAGTCCAGCATGATAGGCGCCTTTTTTAGATAGTTCTGGTAGCGCAGGGACATCCAGGGGCCAGGCTTGTGCATCGGTCATGTGGATGTGGAAACGATTAAATTTGTTCCAAGAAAGGGCATCAATGGTCCGGAGGATGTGCTCCTTGGGGTACCAGTTTCTGGAAACATCCAAGTCCAGGCCTCGATGGTTGTACTTTGGCCAATCACTGATGCTGACGGGGGCGAGATTGGAATACACGCCAGTGCCTTTGACCGAGTGCGAATAGAATAGTTGCGTGAAAGTCTCCAGAGCACGGAGAACACCAGTAGACGATTCTGCTGAGATGGTTGCTTCGCCATTGGTTCCGATAGTTAAGTTATAATTCTCATTAACTGTGCCTGCAAGGGGTTTGAATGTTGATTTGTCGTCTTTTGTGGTCTGGGTGATCTGGAGTTTCCGTATATACGTCTTTGAATGACCAGTCGCGGCGGGTTCGTATTTATCCAGCTCATTGCGTGGATGGAACTTCCAAGGAACAATACTACTTGTGAAGATAGAGTCACGAGCCCTCTGCACGGCGGCCGCGACAATCTCCAAGCTTGCGATCGTTTTGGTTCCAGCTTTGGGATGCGGAAGCTGTGATTGAAGACCCTTGTCAGCTGCCTGAGAAGAAAAAAAAAAGTGCTATTGTATCAACCTACATCTTGATTATTGTATGAGACCTTAAAGTCCTCCGCAATCCAAACAGTAGAAGTTCCGTTGGTGAAAGATTGAGGGGCAGGCCATAAGGCCGCCACATGGCCGACAAAGGCGAGGAAGGCAAAGAACCTCATGATGATTCGCATGGACGGAAAGTCATAACCATCGTGCAGCAGATGCACACTTTATATCTAAATCTCACCATTAGTCAGTATCCTCAGGGGTCATTTAATATGCCCCATGAAGCGATGTCGTGATGATGCAGGAACACTAGAGGATTGCAGGGTTGTATGTACAAGGTTACACTTAAAACCAGAAGCTATTAGTTTGCTACTGATCTCCAAATCATGTCGTGCTTTTAGCATATATGTCGCTCTCTTACTGAATGTGGTACTAGTTATAGATAATATAGATTGATACATAAACCCTGTACATTGTGCTAACCCTTTTAGTTATAGACTACCGAGAGCCGGAGCTAGCCATTAGCTCAAGTTTACGTATGCACGTCTAAGGTTTAAGTATAGTTTGTACATTTCGGCATATTTGACAACCCCAGGTCTATGATGACGCATATCGATCGCTGAGTGAACAATTGAAGTGAGTAGATCCACTGATAGACAACATCCTATCTATATTGTGCTGCAATGTAACATCGGCTTCACTCTACATTTAATAAGACACGGGGATTTAATCTATCTTTCTTGTTACATACCCCGCTCCTAACGGAGACAACCCTAACTATAGGAGGACTTGACCGGAAGACTTAACCTCTTTACGAAGCACGTAATGATAGTGGCATATGCAGTCAGAGTACAGTGTGATCCGTCTTGCTATCATGGTGGTTAAGACCCCTTAAAAGTATATAAGGAAGGATTATTGCACTGGGGATTGAAGTTATATTCATTATCCTATAAAATCTTGTATCCTTCAATATTCCTGCTTAAGGATGGTTCGACTTTCTACCCTCGTTGGCGCTGCTACGCTTGCGCTATCAGAGACGGCCACGGCAAAATACGCGTTGTTCAAGACGTACGACACCACGAACTTTTTTGAAGGGTTTGAATTTCGAAACGGCACTGGATCTGGCGGGTTTGCTCAATATGTGGATGCTGCAACCGCAGAGGCAAAATCTCTAGCAGGTATTCGGGACGGCAAGGTGTACCTAGGCGTCGATAATACGACTGAAAACACGACTGGTGGTCGACAATCCGTCAGAGTCATCACGAAGGATGTGTTTACCAACGGGCTTTATATTGCTGATATCGCCCACATGCCAGGCAATGCCTGTGGCATCTGGCCGGCCTACTGGACCAGTGGTCCAGACTGGCCCAACGGCGGCGAGATTGATATCATCGAAGGCGTCAACATGCAGAAAACTCCCATCATCACTTTGCATTCTGGAAAGGACTGCACCGTCACAAATACTGGCTCGGCAGCTGGCTCAGTCCTCGTCGATCCCGATTGTGACAGCAGTACCTCCTCTGGCGGCTGCTCCCAGACGTCGACAAATACCCAGGCCTACGGGGACGGCTTCAACGCGGTCAATGGAGGCGTGTACGTAACGCAATGGCTGCAGAGCGATATCTCGGTCTGGTTCTTCCCCCGTAGCAGCATCCCGGCGGACATCACGAAAGGGGCTCCAGCACTACCCACTTGGGGCAAGCCATTGACCCGGTTCGTGGCTTCGGGTTGCGACTTTGCGACTCACTTCAAGAGTAACGATATTATATTCAACACGAACCTGTGTGGCTGGGCGTAAGATACAATATTCACTGATACATCAAGAGCTGCGCTAACACATACCAGTGGAAGTGAATGGCCATCCGAGTGTAAGGCGAAGGCTGCTACTTGTAAGGAATATGTGGCGCAGAATCCGTCAGCGTACTCGGATGCGTATTGGTTAATCAACTCTGTAAAGGTATATCAGTGGAGCAATGCTGCCAAATAAGGCCTCGATGTTAGAAATGGTCATGATATGCCGAGGCAAAAAATAGGGTAGCTCGCAGCTGAATCTATAGAACTGAGAGGTCCAACTTGGTTCTTCATATAGATTATTTACCATACTTTTATGAAACAAAATAAAGTAGGAAAGTGCAGTTAGAATATTCGGTCCTCGCCAAGTAACCCAATTCCCGAAATGTAATTAGGTTACTTGGCGAGGACCAACTGTGCCGTAGTGCAGAGGAAAGAATCTAGAAGATCTAGGGAGATCGGTGTGGCTCACATGCGGCTCAACGGTCACTTTAGGTATGCCAAGTATCAGTACACTTCCAAGGTTTACTGATCTTCCATTGATCTTCCCATATGTAGGCCTTGGTTAGGTTCGAGCTCTTATAAATGAAATGATTGTTTCTCTTGATTCTCATATTAATATCGAGTGAGATATGCGGAGTTCTTGTCTGTTGACATAAGCGAAGCAGCTTGGCATTGGAACCCGCTGCTTAGATTGAACCTCGGGGCGACTTACACATGATTGATGCATCTAAATACACTATGCTTGGGAAACCTCCAGGCGTCCACGAAACAGTCTGAGACCCAACGCCATAACCGGGATTCTCCGAGGGTTTCAATCATCGAACGTTGCTAGGGAGCAATATTGACAAGACAAGCAGGCGATGAATCAGAGATGGCAGAAAGTTAGACCAATACTGGGATCCTGACATGCTTCAGGGCTGACTACTAGTAGCTTGGTATGAGGTTGGAACTCTGAAAGAAAGGTTTGTAGATTTGCTCTATATCTAGTACCTAATATTATACCTCATATGCTTCCTCATCATTCATGGTTGTTTGTCGCAAGGATAAAGCCCTTCTGAAGGCCTCAAGCTCATGGATTGTTATCAGACAGTTACTTCTGGTATTATTCGCCTATAGAATTGAAATACCCCTAGGGAGGTAAGGTAAATGGACTAAAGTCACCAGGAATCCGAATAACCAAGACGAGGAGCCTAAAATGACACTCACATCTCACAGGACTTGACCTCGGCGATCTGACTCGGATGAGGTTTATATCAAGTCACGTGGAGCCGGGATAAGGTAATCCCGCGGCAACAATTTTCCCCGAACGAGCATGCCCCGGGTGTACGTTATTTATACATATAGACCATTTATCTCTTATACAGCCCAATGGCAGACTCATCGAGCTCTGCTGCGCCCTCGGGCGCTGGCAAGCCCCAAGCGGCCCCGAAGCCTCCTAACCCAGCGTTTAAAATGATGGGTACGTCTCTGTTCCCCAGATTTTAACAGTCTCAAAAATGCTAATACCGCAGTGATCAACAGGCCTCCCTAATATGCGGTTCAAACTGCCCTCTCGCAACTGGATGATCTTCCTTACTATCACTGGATCATTCACCGGTGCTCTTATATACGATCGTCGGGAGAAGCGCCGCGTGCAACAGAAGTGGTCGGAGCTCGTGGCTCACATTTCGAAAGAAACTCTACCAGTCGACCAGATGCGCCGGAAAATGACAGTGTACCTGGCTGCACCACCAGGGGATGGCCTGCGCGTGGCCCGGGATCACTTTAAGGAATATGTCAAGCCCATCCTGGTGGCCGCGGCGTTGGACTATACGGTGATTGAAGGACGACGTGAGGGCGACGTGAGAGCCGGCATGGCGGAAAACATTCGCAAGCAGCGCCGAAAGGCCGGAGAGCCCAGCTCAGCTGTTGAGGAGACCGGCGTGGAGGCAGTCGTTGCTGCCACCCGGGAACACATTGGGGTCACTGACGAGCCTGGCCCCAAGGGCGACTTGGTCATCGGCAGACACACCTGGAAGGAGTATGTCCGGGGCTTGCACGAGGGTTGGCTTGGCCCCTTGGATCCACCAGCTCCGCCTCCAGAGGAGTCGAAGGAGTTGATCGTGAATACAGTGGAGGATGTCAGTGCGACCAAACCAGCTGGTCTCGCAACCCCCGAGATTGCGAGCATCAATTCTCCTGAGTTCTCCGAAGAGAAGAAAGATGAGACCCCTGAGCCGAAGATCGAGGAACCTGAGAAGGAAGAAGAGAAGAAGGAAGAAGAGAAGCCTTCCAAGCCAGCCGGTCCTACCCCTGCATATATCTACCCTAGCGAATACTCGTCCGCCAACCTCCCCACCACCATTCCCCAGTCCTTCGACAGCTCCACCCCAGTCGAATTCCCCCATCTCCTCGGATTCCTGAACACCCCGATCCGAGTCTACCGCTTCCTCACACAACGTTACCTTGCCGAGGACGTCGGGCGCGAAGTTGCCGCAATTGTCCTCGCGAATAGCGCACGCCCATACCGCGAAGGCGCCTTCAGCACAGACAACGAGCCTACCGCCGCCAACGTTGAACCCACCCCTTCTCTTGACAGCTCGTTCACCGACCTCCCCCCTCGCAACTACGAGCAGCAGACCGTAATGGAGGCTGCTGAAAGTGAGTGGCACAAGTCTGCGCACAAGCGCGAGGAAGGCGAGGATAAAGAGCGCGAGTGGATTGATGATATGGTGCTTGATCAGCGCATTGCCTCGCGCATGCAGCGCGCCACTCTTTCCCCTGAAGACGAGGCGCGCGCTCAACGCATCGCCGAGAAACAGGAATACATTCTTGGCGAGGAGCGGCCGACCCCCGTGCCTTTCTGGAAGCGCATGTGGATCGATCACGGCTACGGTGAGAGTGACGAGGCCCTGAGACGTAAGCCCATTTTGGGTAATCTCGACGGAGAAGACACACAGTGAAGAGATCTTCAAACGTTTTCTGCCTGATCTTCACAATTTGAAAATTGGTTTCTATAACGGTTACGGGATAGATTTTCCCCTGGCATTCAGCACGGCATGTGTTGGTCTTTTTTGTTTAGCATATTGCGACTCCCACCTCGGCTTGTATATTAAAGGCGTTTGATGTCCCATTTTAGAAATGTACATTGATGGAAATGGTGTTCTTCAAATTTGGAGTAGATTCTTTTACGTTTAGCACTTGCTTGGTTGGCAATAGATACTAGTACATTGGTTCTCCCAGCACCTGTATAATCACTCTACTTGACATTGGCCAATACCAGAGTATATTTGCTCTCCCCGTGTCTTTCTCTATGTTTTAAACCCCCTTTTGTTGTCCCAACTCCTGCAACTCTGTTATATTGCTAGGCAGCTAGGCAACTTATGATCAAAGCGGGGATGGGGCTGGGAGTCCACACGGTCCTCGATTCGGATCAAATCAATTCAGCACAAAGACCGAAGACTCGGGCCACTTCTTGCTCGCCTTCTCGGCGTAAGCAGTCTTATCAGTGCCCCACTTGTTCAGAAGGTCCAAGGCGATGACAGCCTCGTCGATAGTGATATCGGGGGAATCGAGGGTAGCAAGCAGGTCTTGCTCGCGTTGCGACTTAGCTTCCGGGTTCAGGAGTTGACAACCAGACAGGCCGGCCTGCACATGTGCGACACTGCCCTTGTTAGCCGAGAGGTAAGACTCGTTCCACTCTTCGAGTTTCTGGGTCTTTGGAAGAAGCTTGTCAAATTCGGCATTGACACCCTCGGCAACCTTCTCGGGAAGAGGCTCGGCAAGGCTCTCGAGAGACTTGCGGAAGCGAAGCAATTGAAGGTGAAGAGTGGGGTTGGAAGGATCGATGGAATGGGCGGCCGCAAGGCACTTGACGGCAAGGAGGTGTTTGTCTATAATCGTATTAGCATGATGGCTCCGTCTTAGAATCTACCAAATTAACTCACTCTGTCTGGAGTAGACCTCAAAGCCAACGCACTGGGCTTCGATGTTCTGGGGGCTGCACTGAAGCAACGGCGTCAAGAACTTCATGGCATCCTTCAGAGGATCCTGAGTCTGGACTAGGGTGTTGCCCAAAGGATCGGCATCTTCCTTCTTAGTCTCTCCATCAGCACTCTTGGCGGTAGTGGCAGCTGCTTTCCTTGCTGCGCGCTTGTCAGACTCAATCTTTTCCAAGCGCTGCTGCTCCTTCTTGGCCTTCTTGAGAGCCTTCTTCCTCTGGTTCTCATCGGTAGAATCGATTCCATTGCTGCCGCTGGGCATCGGACCGTGCACGAGATCCGGCTGGTCGTGGAGAAGTAGGTAGGTCTTGACGGCTCCGAGAGCCATTCTTGTGTAGAAGGGGTGCTCACGCAGGCGGTCTTCCCAGCGCACCATGTCCACGTAGGCCCTGATCATTCCCTTGCGGAGAGAGAAGCCGTGGAAGTCGAACTGATCCTCTTGCCAGGTGTCAAAGATGTTATAAACCGAGTGGAAGCGCTTCAAGGCAAGACCAATCTTCTTCTGTCGGAGGAACGCCTCGGCATCCTCAGTCAAGAACCAAGTGCACTGCATCTCGTGGAGATCACCCAATGTGCCACCGACAGTCTCGTTGCGAGTGAACTTGCTCATAAGTTCCAGACCCTTCTCGTTATCGTTGTTTCGGAGCACGTATTTGGCTGCCTTGGTGTTGATATGGCGATCCTTCTCATCTAGCATTCGAGCCTTCTCCATCTCTTCTGCTGCCTTCTCTGGGTTTCCGTAGTGCTTCCAGATCCGTGCCTTGGACATCTGATATTCCACAGCCTTTGGTGACAGTTCAATAGCCTTCTCAACGTTCTCCATAGCCTTGGGGAGGTTGCGGCTGAGGTGATAGTTGTAGTGTTGAGCCAGGAAGTAGTATGTGCACGACAGGAACTCGTTGTTGTCCCCGTTCGACTCCGCGGGGCCGTTTGATACCTTCTCGGAGAGATATCCCTCGACCAATTCTTGTACCACGTCACGCTTGGCCGGGTCGATGTAAAGCTGCTTGATGTTCACGAATAACGAAGGAACACCCTTCTTCAGTCCGCGCAGCAGATAGGCATCAGCAGCCTGCTTGAAATCCTCTCCTTCTAAGAAATCGAGAGGAATGCGACGAGCAGCATCACAGCGGGGATTTTTCTCCACCCACCCATCGTATAGAGCCTTCAATGCCTTGTGGTCACTTTCGGGGATACCCTTTGCCTTGATCAAGCCATTGTAGTAGATCGAGTTGTCTGGGTTGCGCTCTAGGAGAGCTGCATATGCGGCCTCCGCATCGGCCTTGCGGTCCAGTCGCAAAAGATAATCTGCCTTCATCTCCATGACTGCGAGCACATCAAGGCATCGGTACCCAACAGCCTCGAGGTGCTCTAGAGCTCTCTCGAGGTTTCCAGTCTCCGCAATGATAGTGTTCTTGTACAAGATGGCCTCCGAGTTCTCCATATCGGCGACATGTGGTATGGCACCCTTCAATGTGTCTTCGTAGGTAGTCAGAACCTTCTCGGCCTCTGCCAAATCTCCGGCCAAGTGATGAGCGATCGCGAGCGCCGTCCAGTTCTGGCGGAAGCCTGGACGGGTCTGCAGCATCGCACTGCGGCTCCGAATGTATCCCTGGTAATCCCGCATCTGCATCTGGAGCAGGGCCAGATCGCGCTGAATAGGTTGCGATTCAGGCTCGAGGCGCAGAGCAAATCGGTATGCTTTGATTGCCTCCTCGTAGTTCTTCTCCTGGCGCAATAGCAACCCATACACGTGCCAGGTGATATGCGACTTCATATCATTCTGGAGAGCCTTCTTGGCGAGCGCAAAGGCATCCTCCAATTGCCCTATCTGGCTCATATTCAAAGCCTTCATGGCCTGCGTGTCGCCATGTTTGGGGTTTTTGCGAAGAACCTGGTCTGCTATCTTGATGCCTGTGAAGTAAAACGTGGTTAGACAGGCCTAGGTAGTTCAAGGTCACTTCAGAGGCCAACCTTTCTTGTACTGTTTCATCTCAAAGTGGTGAACCACTTGACGAAACAAGGAATGGTCCTTGGTGCTCAATGTTTCCGGCATTGTGGGCGATGCTGACGTCGAGGGACCTGACTTGTGCGAGTGAGGAATCGATGTGTGCGGGGGACGACTTCTCCGAGTCCGATCTTGGCAGAGCTAATAGGCCGATAAGATAGTGTGCACCCATCCAACTTCTTCAGGAGACAACAGGTAAGTGAACTAAAATTATGAGTTTTAGACAAGGCTAAAATACATCAATTTTATTGACACTAGATTTATACTCAAGTATATTTTTTTATCAAGGCGGTATAGAGTGTGAAATGCATATCTCGTGATGCACACGTGGTTTGTTGTGTACATGTAAGGTAACTTCAATGTTCTTTTCAGTGACTTAAGACGATAGCAAAAAGGTAAGACATTCTTTTCTATATGCTGAACTTGAAAGTATTGCTCATTACTCTTGAAAATCTTAAGTTCTTCCATTATCTATGGCATAGGTCAAGTGCTTCTCTTAGGTATGTGGTTTCTCTGGGCTATTCATCATACCATTATCTCCCTTTCTCCGAAACTAATCTGCTCTATTGCAAGCAAAGCAAGAATATAAAAAAAAAGCGGCAAAGCTCACAGCAAAGATCATGTCAGGGCTGTTCAAACATATACAATTTGGGGTGGAGCCTCCCCGGTTCTAGAAAAGAGTTGAGTTATACAGTAATTCTAGTGTACTGCAGAATGCCCCTGTCAAAGGACTTATTTCTGATGCGAATGGCGCCAGCTATTGAGAGCTTCTTCCCAAGTAGAAGAGACACTGCATTTTTCTGACACCATACCCCACGTTCGGGCCCGAATGATTTCTTCAATGGTACGCTCATTGCGAATCAAATTGGCCAATGACTCAGTCCGTGCTTCACGTGGGAAGAAGCGAGCAGAGTACGGGTCCAAACGTTCATCGACTTCTCGCTCCCGGTCTCGGGCAGATTCTGTTTGCCGAAGAATCAAGTCAGGATCGTCGGGATCCGGACTGGTAGCCACACCAGCGCAGTAAGTGAGAACGTCTGATCTCGTTTGCCATGACGGAAATAACACATTATCTTTGAAGCTCTGGCAGTCTGCGGGGTTGATCTGAGATCTAGACTCAGCTCGTCGCACCGCTGTTGATGATGGGTCAAATCCTTCCCGGGCTGGTGTAATCAACGCGTTCAAGTTCTGTGTGATCGAGTCATCGATGGTAGATCTGGAGAGTCGGAGAAAGTCTGAAAAAAAAAATAGGCAAGTCAATAAAAGCTGTTATCAAGACGTCAAATTTCAAACGAACCTCTTAGTAGTCTCTCGTCAAAACAGAACCGAGGAGTCAGCGCCGGAGCAGCTGTGGATGAGGCCTGTAACATCCTCCCACGAATTTCCTCCCCAGCTTCTCGATTCGATTTGATCCAAAACCACTCCAGTTTGTAGTGAGAAAGTGTCTAACTTTATTGATGGAGGTCGTGCAACGGGGTTGAACAGCGCAGCGTTAATGGTGTTATGCTGAAGTATATTGCACTGAAACCCAGTATGGTCTGCTATGAGTAGGGGTAACGAACTGATAGTTGTTGGTAACACTCATGGAAACTCCGAGCAAGCTCTCCGTGGGCCATTGTCGTCATGCCGTAATCAGCTTTAAAGCTCCGGGCTGTTTTGGGACTAGCGCATTCAATATGTTCACGTGACATCGCGTACTCGCGTTTTAGGAGCTTCGCGTCCCTGCTTATGCCAGATCGTCTTTCGGAGAAGAAGCATTTGTATATATCCTCGAATTCATTACTGCATGTTTTAAACATTCATACTTGAAATATCATACCAACATGCCTGAGCTAGCAGAGATCCACCGCATTGTGCATTTTATTCGTGAGCACCTGGTTGGGAAAACGCTGGCCAAAGTACAAGCACAACATGACGATATCATATTTGGGAAAGTTGGCACCAGTGCTGCCGAATTTCAAAAGGCAATGCAAGGGAAGAAAGTTGTGGGAGCAGGCCAACAAGGGAAATATTTCTGGATCACAATGTCTTCACCACCACACGCTGTGATGCACTTTGGGATGGCTGGTTGGTTGAAGATCAAGGATGCCGACACGTACTACTATCGAACCGACAAGCCTGCGGATCAGGAGTGGCCTCCTAAATATTGGAAATTTCTGCTGGAGACAAGTGACGAGCCGAAAACAGAGGCAGCATTTGTGGATGCCCGCAGGCTTGGTCGCATTAGACTGGTGGATTGTCCCGCTGATGAGATCCGAAATCATACTCCACTCAAGGAAAATGGGCCTGATCCAGTCACCGATAAAGACACTGTGAATGAAGCGTGGTTGACAGAGAAGCTGGGAAAGAAGAAAGTGCCGATCAAGGCTCTTCTGCTCGATCAGGCGAATATCAGTGGAATCGGAAATTGGATGGGGTACGTCTTCCATGTTAATCGTAACCCATGAAATATACAGAAGCTGATTATTTCTTAGCGATGAGATTCTCTATCATGCCAAGGTACACCCAGAACAATACAGCAACACTTTGAATGCCGATCAGATCAAGGCGTTACACTCTGCTATTCATTATGTCTGCTCCACATCTATTGGTGTACTGGCAGACTCGGAGAAATTTCCCGAGCACTGGCTTTTCAAGCACCGGTGGGGCAAGGGGAAGAAGAACCAGCCCGCCGCCCTACCCAATGGGGATAAGATCACATTCCTTACTGTTGGAGGTCGAACAAGTGCCGTTGTTCCAGCTGTCCAGAAGAAGACTGGTCCTGTCGCCAATTCCATTGGCGAAGACGTTGCAAAATCCACACCAGCTAATTCGAAACGGAAGCGTGCAGCCCTAAAGAAAGAAAGTGACTCCGAAGCGGAAGAGACAATAGAGACAAAGAAGCGAGAGGCCCCAAGACAGAAGAAACCCGCTGTAAAGAGTGAGTACTTCGAAGAGGAAAAGGCAAAGCCCGCTGCTGTTGCGAGAAGACGATCTACCCGTACATCCAAGTGAGGTGTATATGAAACTCGGTTGCTAGCGAATGCATTTGAATCTAGAATAGTTCTGTATTTTCTATTGTCAGCAGTCTCCTAAAATGAAACAGACTTGACTTGAGTAAAACGCAATATTATATCACAGACTAGCCCCACCTACATGGGATCGATCCAGTATCTCTTTAGTAACTTACAGCTAATGAATTCAGACAACTCTTTGCAAGGGGGAAAAATAGAGGCAGTATATGAGAAAAACCATAGACTAATCATACATGAACAAGTCATTTTGCACATTTTAAGCAGTTTTTACCGGCTAATTATTCTTATCCTATAACTATAGCACTAAAAAGGGAAGAAAGATCTATTAATATATATATACAGTTGTTCTCGAAATCGGCTTGACTAATACATACTGAGAAACTCTTTCCTGGTTCCACCGCCAAGACCTTAGAGCAGATCATTATTGAGCGGGCCGCTCTACTTCAAGGGTACATAGTAGTAATTCGACTTGTCAAGTTATAGTACGGAGATACGTAATATTACACCACACGCACGAAAACCCTACGGAGTGGCAAAAATTTGCAACTATTCAGCAATGCCAGAGCTGCGCTAACTTCTTCTAGAGTATTCTTTCAATAAAGACTAGAAAGAAAAGGAAATATGTAAAGAAGCTGCATCAACATCGACTACGCCTCCACAAGAGACTAAGAGTACGTGCGCACAACTGACAAACTGGGTGCGTGCCTCAGCTGAACCCCGCCTTCTCCTGACAAGATCCCGACATAATCCACACGACCCCCGCTTTAATTCTTTCACCTATGTTCCAAACACATTAAACACATTGACAAGTCAAAGATCATAACGCACGATCCGGTCGTACTGGAGTCGGTCCACTATGGATACTAGGACCCGATCCCACGACGATTATACGGTTGGATGGATATGCGCCTTGCCGGTGGAGACGGCGGCTGCAAAGCTGATGCTGGACAACATACACCCGCTTTTGCCTCGCCTGCCGATGGACCAAAATGCTTACATTTTTGGAAGCATCGGGGAACACAATATCGTTATTGCTACTTTACCGACTGGCGCATATGGAAGTACATCAGCCGCAACAGTTGGGATGCAGTTACTCTCTAGTTTCCACGCGATCCGCTTCGGTTTGATGGTTGGTATCGGCGGCGGAGTACCAAGCAGCAATGCAGACATTCGACTTGGGGATATTGTAGTGAGCCAACCAACGGACACCTCTGGAGGCGTGATCCAGTACGATTTGGGTAAAGCGCTCAGCGGCGGCCAATTCAAGCGAACCGGAATGCTTAATCGGCCTCCTAAGGTTATGTTGACCGCTCTCGCGACTCTCCAAGCACATCACCTCACAGAAGATAGCCGGATCGTGGAATTTGTTTCCAATCTGCAAGCCAAATTAGCGCTCCACAAAGCTGCCAAGTTCACGCGACCGACACAAGAGGACTCTCTATTCCAGGCAGGGTATGACCATGTAGCATCCGATACGTGTATGGATTGCGACCGATCCAAACTCTTTTCACGACCCTCACGAGAGCACCAAGAACCAGTCATCCACTACGGACCCGTAGGATCTGCAAATCAAGTGGTGAAAGATGGCTTGCACCGAGATCAGCTGGCTCAGGACCTAGGGTTGTATTGTGTGGAGATGGAAGCGGCTGGACTCATGAATGACTTTCCATGCCTCGTCATTCGGGGGATCTGTGACTACGCTGACTCCCACAAGAATAAAGAATGGCAAGGATATGCGGCAGCCGTGGCGGCGGCCTATGCGAAGGAGCTTCTCTTGGTCGTTCCAGTCGATCAAGTTCAGAGTGCCCCAATAGCACGTGACACTCTAGCAGACTATAGTGAGAGACAAGAGATGAAATCTCCTAAAAGCTTGACCACGGAGGAGCATTCAACCTTGACATTCAACAGCGGTGGAGGGTCCCAGACCAACAACGTGAATAGCGGCATTGGTCAGCAAATCAACAACAATGCTCATGTTGGAACTCAATATATCCAGTCCGGTAAGGAGCAGGTGCCATCTAGCACATCTCATCAATAGCACTATACCCAAAGCAGAGTTTGCACGATCCAGTGCGAACGGAGTCAACAATGTCTCTACTTCAATGATTTCTTACATCTCACCAAATCATCCTTTACTATTTCTTAGCTCCAATACAAAATGCGGATATCCTTCAAAAGTCTCGGTTTTCTCTTTTAAAGCCCATATTGCCACCCAAACCTACTCCGGATTTCAAGCTAATTATTATTAATAGTCACCCTCAGGCAGAAAGAAGACTTTAGCTTTCGCAGACCCGTCGGCGTCTATCTCGGTCAGGCGCCCTACATCGCCTCTGAACTCTTCGTCGGTCGTGGCTACGAACTTGATGAGATCTCAAGAATTCTACACCCTGATCACAAGGCTCAAAGGCAACGGCGCATAGTCCTCGGTGGTATGGGTGGTATTGGCAAGACCCAGCTTGCCATCGCCTACGCAGAGTCTGGCCGTGGATCTTATGACTCGGTATTCTGGCTTAATGCAGTATCTGAGGCCGCATTGAAAGACAGTTTCCGATCGATAGCAAGCCTTATCTTCGACATCGAGGAGCCTGGAGTATCAGAGGATAAAGAGATTGTGAGACGCATACATCAATGGCTCTGTACTCCCAAAAATACTGGATGGTTATTGATCTTTGATAACTACGATGACCCCGCCCAGTTTCGGATTGAAGACTTCTACCCCTTTGCTTCTCATGGGGCTATTATGGTCACCACTCGTCGACTAGATCTCGTTGCTGGCGCCCCTCTCGACATAAAGCCTTTTCAGAATATTGAAGATAGCCTCGCAATCCTCCAAACCCGATCAAAACGAGATAATGTTCAATCAGGTATGGTACATCCAAACAAATTTAGGACCCACTAACTAGTACCGCTAGATCCTCATGCAAAGCGCCTTGCAGAGCGACTTGCAGGTCTTCCTCTTGCTTTAGCCACCGCCGGGACATATCTTCAACGTAGTACCTTTACTTTCGAACGCTACCTTCAAGAGTATGAGAAACGTTGGAACATTAGCCCTCGCCAACCCCTACAGCTCCAGGAGTATCAGGAGCGTACACTCTACACAACCTGGGATCTGTCATACTCTCGCCTAGAAAAGGGAGATCCGGACGCGGCGAAATTACTAAAACTACTCGCTTACTTCGGTAACCAGAGACTTTGGTATGAGCTTTTTCGTGCCGGACTCACCGATAGGTCTCCCGAATGGCTTCGTGAAGTGGTCACAGATGACGTAGATTTCAACGACGTGATGGGAGTCTTGGTCGGATACTATTTCCTGGACGTTCACCAGACGTCAGATTCATGGAGCATGCATAACTGCGTGCACGACTGGACATTAGCAGCACTCAATAAGGAAATCGACGCAACGTATTATTGGTATGCCTTTGACTGCATTTCTGCGCCTATAAACGATAAAGATATGAATGATTTTGCAAAGCTTTCTTACTCTCCATTGGCTGCTCATGCCACGCGGTTAGTGCAACAGCGGCTGTGCCAGAACGATGATATATATAACATTACGCCTAATCGACTCGACCAAGCTTCGCTGATTGCTAACCTACTTCGACTCCAAGTACTTCTTTTTGCTGGCGAGCAGATGTACCAGCGGGCACTAGCTGGGAAGGAGAAAGCGCTCGGACCGGACCACACATCGACGCTCGACACTGTCCACAATCTCGGGATTCTATATCGGAACCAAGGCAAGCTGGACCAGGCGGAGCAGATATACCTGCAGGCGCTAGCTGGGAGGGAGAAAGCGCTCGGACCGGACCATACGTTAACACTCGAGACTGTCCACAATCTCGGGCATTTATATCGGGATCAAGGAAAGCTAGACCAGGCGGAACAGATGTACCAGCAGGCGCTAGCTGGGAGGGAGAAAGCGCTCGGACTGGACCATACGTCGACACTTGAGACTATCAATAATATCGGGATTCTATACTGGAACCAAGGCAAGCTAGACCAGGCAGAGCAGATGTACCAGCGGGCTCTGGCTGGGAAGGAGAAAGCGCTCGGACCGGACCACACGTCGACGCTTAGCACGGTTAACAATCTCGGGGTTTTATATCGGGACCAAGGAAAGTTGGACCAGGCGGAGCAGATGTACCAACAGGCGCTAACTGGGAGGGAGAAAGCGCTTGGACCGGACCATACGTCGACGCTTGAGACTGCCAACAATATTGGGATTTTATACTGGAATCAAGGCAAGCTAGACCAGGCAGAGCAGATGTACCAGCGGGCTCTGGCTGGGAAGGAGAAAGCGCTCGGACTGGACCACACATCGACACTTAGCACGGTCAACAATCTCGGGGTTTTATATCGGGGCCAAGGCAAGCTAGGCCAGGCGGAGCAGCTATACCAGCGGGCGTTAGCTGGGAAGGAGAAAGCACTCGGACCAGACCACACGTCGACGCTTGAGACTGTCAACAATCTTGGGGTTTTATATCGGGACCAAGGCAAGCTGGACCAGGCGGAGCAGATGTACCAGCGGGCGCTAGCTGGGAGGGAGAAAGCGCTCGGACCGGACCACACGTCGACGCTTGAGACTGTCAACAATCTTGGGGTTTTATATCGGGACCAAGGAAAGTTGGACCAGGCGGAGCAGATGTACCAGCAGGCGCTAGCTGGGAGGGAGAAAGCGCTCGGACCGGACCACACGTCGACGCTTGAGACTGTCAACAATCTTGGGGTTTTATATCGGGACCAAGGCAAGCTGGACCAGGCGGAGCAGATGTACCAGCGGGCGGGGCTACGGAAGGAGTAGATGAATAGCGCTACTTGCTTCTCTAAATGACGATCTTAATTCAATATCTTGCACACTCGCGCTGTCCTCCCTAGAATTGTTTAACTCTATTCTTGACCTCAAAGACAGATAGGCGGCAAGTCTTTGATTCAGCACCATTCTACCCGACGTAATAGCCAGTTACTTCCTTTCGAAATCGGTTTATCATTCGTCATAATACACGGGGACGGCTCTCAGAAATGATGACTGGCTTGTGCTGCACAGGCGGAGTACTAGTCAAGGCAATTTCGAGAACCACTTGTATATAGAAAAAAACTATTGGAAAGACTACTGAAAAGGCTTAACAAGGCTGCATGAGCGGCTAATCATTCTTGTCTACGTAAATTAAACAAGTAGTAGTGATCGGGGTTTACCATTTTACTCGCGTTCATCCTGGGATGGCAGCTGTTTCACTGGCAGGTCGGCTCTATCCTGAAGAAATCTCAAGATATCCTCAATCTCGTCCTCCACACGATACCAATGTCCCAGTCCCTCATATGCCTTCCAAGTCACATCCATCCCAAAACCGGCTGAAAGAACATGAGACATCTTTCTGCCTAGTTCCACAGAAACCTTTGGGTCTTCGGAGCCGTGGCCAACAAAGACAGGCATCTGAAGATGCTGGAAGCTTAATTGTGGTTGCGGCTGCTCTGTTGAGCTCATTGGAAGATCAAGAATATCCCGAACATGGCTGATGGCGTGGAAAAGCATTGAGGCTTCTTCCTCGTCGTCGGCAAAGGGATTGAAATCATCATGCGAAGGGCTGCTTCTTTTGAATAGATCGTCATCCAAGTCAGATATCGAAAAAGCATCTGGCTCTGCGTCTGACTCATCACTGTTGGACTGTTGCCTAGCCGCGTCTTTAACTTCATCTTCATCTTCTGAGTCCGAGTCTGAGGTATCATCGTATCGAGTTTCCTTGCCGTCTTTAGTCGACGCAGGAATGTCATCGCATCGGAGAATTTTGTGCAATTGCTGCTCAAAGGGCAGCCATCCACTCATCCCAACAAATGCTCCAATAGTACTTGTTTCACTGGCGTCGAGCCAGCCACCCAGCAGGGTGAATACACCTGCAGCACAGCCTTGACTTAGTCCCCATAGGATGAGCTTTCGATGGCCACCCACACCCAAGATGCGAACCTCTTCGCTAATTAAACCACGAATAAATTGAGCAGTCTCACAGAGACCTTCGACTTGTAAGTCTGTTCTCTCTCCCGGATCCTCAATTGAGTAGTTGTCAAACCATTGATTGATGGCCATCTTTTTGAACCTCGTTGCCCGCCGCTTACTTGCAGTTGGAAAGACAAATTTCACCGTGGGAAGTCGAGCTTGCAGGTTCGCATCGGCAAGAAGTACATGTCCGAAGCGTTTAGCATTACTGCCTTTTCCATGGAGCGAAATAATAGTGTGTGTATGCTCTTCACCCAACGGTGGGATGACTAGGGGGGCGGGGTACGCATTTCGTGGCATTTTGGACCTTGGAGAGACAGAGAAGGTGAGAATTTGGAAGGACAAATTAACGCACAGTGCTAGTAATTTTCAAACTTCTGTTTCTAAATGCCAAGGATCAGTGAAATTTCATTGTTGCTATTTTCTATATTTTGATATTACGAATATCCATGCAGGCCCAGGGGGTAGTCGAACAGACAATAAGCGTAATGACTATACTCACTTCAATCCTAGATAATGGGCTTTATACCGACCGCATAGTTATTGGAGACAGCGAAACATACCTATATATATATATATATATATCAACACAGTTATTAACGCTTATACTTATCTCAATCCCAGACAATGAGCTTTATATCGCATAGTTCTATTATTCGCCCACAAAGAGTATTTGTCTGTCATTGTATGCGAATCAACCAGAAGACAAATATAAAAGTGCCTAGACGGCCCCGGCCGTTAAAATATATCAGTCCCAAGTCTCATTCGAATCCCAATCAACAAGGCTACCATCGAATAATTACAATCCCACTTTCCAAAGAAGCTCGATTCTTTTTGACAACCCAGGCTATCTATTCGTTGAAGATAGCTGAGCCATGGGACGTCTATGTTGCATTCTGCCAACGGAGAGGTAAGTACCCTTTGCATTGGATGCTTTTACTTGCTAACCCTGGATCGCTGCATTGTACATGGTACCACGTCGTCGGAGGTCCGACACAGAATCGGGGCTACGATCGCAAGATTGAAGCTGGGAAGAGAATCGACAGTTTCGGTATATCGAAGAAGCAATACATCGGCCAAATTTCCGCACGCGATATCAACAAGGTCAAATCAGCGGTAGTAGCAGTCCCTGTTCAGGAGTGTCAACGCTGGACGGTAGAAGTGCTTGCCGGGCTTGAGCGCAAATCCTTGATTCCTCTTGGCACCAGCAATGATTATTATAATCAGATGGAGGAGCCTTCTCCTATTAGAGAAATCAAGGATGACTGGCTCTTGCTCTCCGGAACCTTTGAAAAGGAACTGATCATTGAGTAAACTAGTAGCGGCCAGGTGCAACAGACCAGCAGGTGTTTGGGAGTGAGGATGAGAATTTCCTGATAATTGGAAATTCTGAAGGTGTGTTGCCTATTCCCTTTGCCGTTGCTCTTAGCGTTTCTGCAAATGTGAATCCATCGCTTGTTTTATTTTGACATGTTTCTCCATCACTTGCTCAGTCTTGTCCAAATTTTATTTGCATTTTATAGTTCCGCTTTTTTGACAACACAAGTTTATTTTTACATTGATGTCAAGTAATTCATAGAAAATGTAGATGTATATTCTCATTAACACCATCACATGTCTCTCATATATAGTGCGGGTGGTCAAGGACGAGTAAGGGAGGCGCCTGTCCGCGTTCCGGTATAGTAACAGCGGTTTTGGTGAATTCATCCGAAGGGGACTGGTTCATGATGCCAATTGGTGAAGAGTGGCAAGGAAAGAATCAGCGATAATGACGGATGAAAATAATGGGTAATAGTTGTTATAAGAGTGAGAAATGGTAGTTAGGTTAAACCCATCTGAGAGCAATGGCGGACAGAAGTGCATGTCAAAAAGAACGCCTATAAACCTTTTCAGATGGTGTATCGGGGCAAGTAGAACAGACTAATTTATTATCAAATGGAACTACGAGAAATATAGCTATCTACACCGTGAGGTCTGACCCTTTCACCAGGCCGCTTTTTCAACACGCAACTTGATTTAACGATTCTACTGTAATTTGCGCCTTCCTCAAAAGTCCCAAGCCTCCCCCATGTGGGAAACTCCAATGAAGAGAGATGAAATTGTCTTGGAAGACTTATCCCATGTTCAAATCATCCAATGTCGCTTTGAAGATTGCGAGATTGTTCTCATGGGGCGCATCTTTAATTACAAAATGAATCTGCTCAAACCACCCCTTGAACTCTCTTTTCATGAGAACCTCTTTCCAGCAATCGGCCACCACCTGGGGGGGATGGTGAAAGGCTCCACAGCCAAGGGCACCAAGGACCAAGCGGCGGTGATTGTTGAGTGCTGCCGTACGTAGAATCAATCGCATCTTGCCTTTCATGAGATATCGTTGCCCCGGGTCCCTGTAGCTGGATTTGTCGGCGGTCAGCTTAGGCTTATCTCGCGCTGCCATGCTGATAACACTAACGGCAGGGTTCAAGTGTAGGTCATCGTCCGCCGACATGAAGCTATACCCTTGTTCCACCCTCTCTCGGAAAACGATCACTTTGGGCGAATAGAGACACTCCAGATCTGTCATTGGGTAGAAGCGGGGTTGGAGAGACCCAATGAGTGTGCTTCGATAGCAAAGCTGTTCCTCCTGAGCTCGAGCACCACTAAGCCAGCCCCCACCGGGGCGAAAAGCATTGGCAAAGTTAAGAACACATACTGGCATGTGATCGCTGGTGTTGCCAGCATATTGCATGTTGAGAGCCTGATCATATGTGTCTCCCGGCATGACCTTTACCACAGTGGTGAGGTTTGGAAACTCCACGAAATCAGGATCCAGGGAAGGAGCGTTCCATTTGCTCGCCACATAACTCAACCGAGTTCCCTCCAATTCCGTTTTAAACAAAATTTCCATCACGGCTTTCTGTGTTGTTTCGATCACCTTCTGCATCGTAGAGGGCGATGAAGCCTTGGTGACTCCATCACCCTGGCTTCCAAGAGCAGCAGAGCGTCGCTTCTTAGGCAGTGGAGGAGGGTTTTTACCGGGATGCTTTTTTTTTAACCTCAGGTGCCCGGCGAAGATCAGTCTTCCTAACTTCACTCACCCCATCAAGACCATCTATTTGGTTACCGTTGGAGCCGGATGAGAATTTCTCGTAAATGGTACTCATCATTCTAGTGAGGCCACCACTGCTGCGGCTGTTGCTGCTTGTGGCGGGTGATTGGTTCGCGTACTGGGAGCCTAGTGATTGTTTGGAATGTGTCGATGCAGAGGTATCGGACTGGACAAGCTTCTTTTTTGGCATGGCTTTCTTTTTGTATTGAATGTAGTAAATACACAGAAGAAACAGTAGAGAAGTTGCTAATTTGATGAAGACGAGGGTTCTGGAGACTTTTTATGGCCCATGTTTACTCACCAATTGACTACATATAAGACAATAAAGTTAACTGCATACGTCTTGGAAGGGTAAGAGAGAACAAAGACTCGAGACTCGAACTGTGGGAAGTCGGAGTTGAAAGAAACTCATCTAGGTCACGTGCATAGTTCTGATCCGACCAATCAGAGAAATTTTAGCCCGCATAAGGCGGTAAGCTTATCTCCGATCTCGCCACCATGACAAAGCGTGCAACGCCGTTGGCATGTCGCCTTCTTACAGAAGAACCATTTAAATCCTCCGACGTTTCGAAGTCTTTATTCTGATTATTCGCAATATAATTAGCCAAATATAGGCCATTTCTTTCACTTCGTTCACGGCCGCCCAAAGCAGTCCTCGCCACAATGAGCGCGATCCTGTCAGCAGACGATCTGAATGATTTCATTTCGCCTGGGGTCGCGTGTATCAAGCCAGTTGAAACTCTTCCACAGAAAGATACAAAGAATCAAGAAGTATGTACGATTATTTAGCTCGTTAGGAATGTGTGAATTAGAGTTTCTTTTACTAATTCTCTAATTATAGGGCGCATATGAAGTAACAACGGAAGACAAAGTCGCGCCCGAGGATCTACCCCCCGCACAGATTTCTTTGACAGACTGTCTCGCTTGCTCTGGTTGTGTCACATCTGCTGAAGCAGTGTTGATATCCCTTCAGTCTCACGCCGAGGTCCTCAATACACTTGATGCTCATCCGGAGATTCCCTTGACGCATGAGCATCATGGGGTGGTAGTCAATAAAACTGAAGACTCTGGGGAGGGTAAGATCTTCGTGGCCAGTGTCAGCCCGCAAGTCAGGGCAAGCTTGGCAACAACCTATGGGATCTCGGAGATAGAAGCAGGGTACATGATCAACCAATTACTTAGTGGTCCGCAGGGCTTACGAAGTGGGGGCAAACACGGCAATGGGTTTACATGGGTTGTCGACACCAATGCCATGCGAGAGGCTGTGCTAGTACTCACTGCAGACGAGGTTTCGGACTCTCTCGACTCAGGGGACTCGTTAACAACGGGCCAGTCGGATGACTCTCTCCCCAAGCGACCCATTTTATCCTCGGCATGTCCTGGATGGATTTGTTACGCGGAGAAGACTCACCCTTTTATCCTTCCACACCTTTCTCGACTCAAGTCCCCGCAAGCTCTGTCGGGGACGTTCCTCAAAACCGTTCTAAGCAAGTCTCTCGGGGTCCATCCATCTCGGATTTGGCATTTGGCAGTCATGCCCTGCTTTGACAAGAAGCTAGAAGCTAGTCGGGAAGAACTCACAGATGTGTCGTGGCGACAGGGAGATTTCACGAGCTCTGAGACAAAGCCTGTTCGCGACGTAGACTGTGTTATCACTGCTCGTGAGCTTCTGTCTCTGGCTTCATCTCGAGGACTCTCACTGCCAACCCTGCCTTTGCAACCTCTGCCTTCGTCTTTCACCCCGCCTTTCCCTGAAAAAACCCTTGATTCTTTTCTTTCCTTTAAGCGCTCTCGGTCGGAACAATCTCTTGCTACAGGTACATCTGGAGGCTACCTACATCACGTTCTCGCGAATTTCCAAGCTCGCAACCCAGGCAGTGAACTTGTGATCAACCGCGGACGCAATGTCGATGTCGTCGAATATGTGCTCATGTCTCACGAGGGCCAACCCATTTTGAAAGCAGCTCGCTATTATGGTTTCCGAAATATTCAAAACCTTGTTCGGAAGCTCAAGCCCGCGCGTGTATCGAGGCTTCCCGGCGCAAAACCAGCCGCCAGACCCGCCGCAGGTCGGCGCCAGCCTATGTCTCGTAACACTGTGTCCACAAGCAGCTCGGGATCAGACTACGCATACGTGGAGGTTATGGCCTGTCCTGGTGGATGCACGAATGGCGGTGGCCAGATCCGAGTCGAGGACGCCAGAGAAGCCCTTGGTCCATCCCAAGGAGAAGCACTAGATGCATCTATGAAGCCATCCCCACATGAGCAGCGCGCGTGGCTTGCTCGCGTCGACGAGGCTTATTTCTCCATGGAATCTGAGACTGACTCTGAACTGGAGACTCAGTCTCAGCTGCTTTCATTGGCTGACAAGGAGGCTAAAATTCATGAACGCTTGCGGCGCTGGTCAGAATACATGGACATACCGCTCTCTAAGCTCGTCTACACTACCTACCGCAAGGTTGAAAGTGATGTTGGCAAGGACCAAACACCTGCTAATGATACGAGTCGGGTTGTGGAGCTTGCGGGGAAGATTGGTGGTGGTTGGTAACTTTTGTCTCCTTCATTTTGCTGCTACGAAATCCGCCTTTGGGGTGGTATTCTTCGTGGCCTCTTCTTTGCTTCATTTACATGGCGCCAGGATTGATTTTTCTTGCACGTTTCTGGGGGATATACCACATTTTCATTTTTGAAGTCACGGTCAATGATATATGAGGTGCCGGGTTTTTTTAAGCTTATGACACGATAGATGCATAGAAAAAAGGTCTAAATACCTTTAGATATGATCAATGATATTAATGAAGCTATCAAAACATGGATATAACCAAAGAACCCCATAAATTTCATACAAAACCAGAGGGCTTTCTATACTTCCAGATCGGGCTTGGATGTGATGACTAATCTGTAAAATGCATCCGTAGGTGACTAAGCACCTAAAATCCCGCGTTCCAGAAAGAAAAAGAATTGAAGTATCTCGGGATAGAAACTAGTTTCCACCTCACAACTCTCATCCTCCCACCGGACCTAATCAACTCTCGCGCGCAATAACTCCTTTACTACTACATCACTCTTAAACCAAAACGATGTCTCGCGAAGCCTACCAAGTCCCCTCGACGGGCGCCCAGAACAACTTCGACACCCAAGGCGGAGGTTTCGGCAACGCCATGGCCATCGACAGCCCCTCAGTCACTTACCTGTGTGGCGAGTGCTCTGCCCGTGTTCCCCTAAAGCGCGGTGACCAGATCCGCTGCAAGGACTGCGGTCACCGTGTGCTGTACAAGGAGCGGACCAAGCGGTAAGATTTTCTTTCTGGGAATCATCATGCGATATACGCAAGACATGAGCTGACTTTTGCTTTCTTTCTTCAGTATGGTCCAGTTCCAGGCTCGGTAGACGTCTCATCTGCCCAAACATGAATCGGACGTTCGGAGGTTGCGATGGCTCAGGCGGAATCGGCCTGAGTTCATTTGGTTTTGAAGTCTTTATTTTTTGACGAATTATGCATACAATGGCGCTTTGGGGTTGAATTACACAAACCTGTTTTCTATGGTCTCAGTCTACAAGACCCATATACGATGTTCTCGCCATGCCCTCTAGTCCTAGCCCAAGTCTGGACCTGTGAGGTAGGCTTCCACCTTTCTTTCCTAGAAACAATTACATTTGCTTTCGAAGAATCAAAGGCATTTACTCATAGAAGATTGGACTGAAGTACCCGAAATATTCATATATCTAAACGTACATGGTGTACTTAGTGTGCCTATCAGAACGGGCAAAACCATGCATAACTCAATCCGAAAGTTCCTTAACCCCGAAAAGGCCGTAACATGCTAAAAAATCAAGGTCTACAAAGCTAGAATCTTATACTATTAAAGCTGATTAGTTACTTCGATGAATTGCTCCAAGTGCTTCAGAGACTGCCCGCTCTCGATTGCCCAGCGTGCGCGACGCACGCCTTCTTTCCAGCGGCCGCCGCCAGGGCCACGTTCGGTGATGACCTGTCCATCATCGCCCGGTCCCATGTTGCTGGTATCGGCCTCACAAATGCCCGAGGTGACAAGTAGACCAGCGACATTCATGAGAACAAACTCCAGGATGGGGTCATCCCTGGGAAGCTCATTCCGAAGTATGCTCATCAGCTTTTCTGCGTTCTGCTTGGGCATTTTGCCTCCGCCAACTTCACTAAGGGGGTGACTAGAGAGGCCAAAGTCCGATGGCTGGAGCTGGAACGTGTCGAGCTTGACGAGTGTACGGGGATTGTCGTCATCTTCACTGGAGTCATCTGCATTGTCATCTGAGGCTTTGTATGCGGGGTTCGGGTACTCAGAGAGCCTCCAGCAGTTTGTCTTTCCAGCGCAGCTGATTTCGTCCATGTCCTCTGCGCCACAAACAATCATGGCTTTCTTCGCTCCGCTTTGTCTGAACGCCTCGGCAAATACCGGACCAAGGCTCTGGTACGCTACACCAACTACACGTGCTTCCAGTGCCCAGTCAACGGGGTTTGCCAAAGGGCCCATCAAGTTGAAGATCGTCCGGAGGCCAAGGGCCCTGCGGACGGGGTTGGAATGCACCATTCCCGGGTGGAAATTCGGAGCGAACAAGAACGAATAGTTGGTTTTCTCGTAAACTTGGGCCAAATTCTCGGCGGTGACGGCTGCGATTTTGGGCGGCACGGGTTGGATGGCATTGAGGACGTCGGCGGCCCCAGAAGTCGATGTTTGAGCGCGGTTGCCATGTTTCGCAGTCATGATAAGAGGAGATGCAACGATTGAGGAGGTTGTAGAAATGTTAAAGGTCGAATGAGAGTCTCCTCCGGTTCCAACAATGTCACACTATACATCGTGCCCTGTCAATAAATATAACACAGCGACGAAATGGAGAGGTCCTGCATACCAGTCCACCGTGGTAATTTCCTGTTTTCAGACTACGAGACTTGATAATCTTCGTAAGCGGATCTCTCTCAACTTGGCAGGCAGCATCTCGCATGCATTGAGAACATTTCGCAATCACATCTGGCTGTCTATCCTTGCCGGTCGAGTGGAGCAATGTGAGAAGGGCGGCGGTCTGAATATGAGATAGCCGGTCCTCAAAGATCAGTGCAAAGGCAGAAGCAATTTCCTCTGCGCCCACGGCGGGGAGATCCTGTGCGCTGACTCGGATGCCAGCAGCAGCGGGGTAGGCGAGTCGCTGGAGGAG